ATGAGTTCAAACTAATTCAGCGGATCTAAAAGCTAAAAACCCAAACCAAAAGCTGAAAATCAAAACTAGAAACTTAAAACTTAAAAACCAAAAACCAAAATCTAAAACCAAATCTAAAATTAAAAACTGAAACTAAAAACTAATGCAAATCAATCATCACCACAAATTTTGGATTACTGATTTTATACCAAAACATACTTTAAATAAATACAAAACCTAATTATATAAACTTTTAATCAAAAAAAATTTCCGCGCTTTTAAGTGCGGGTCAAAATCTAGTTGTAAAATTATAATGGAGTTTAATAGTCTTCTAAAAACATTTCACAACTTGTTCTTATAGCTTTGACTCTAAATATGGAAAGCATTCATTAAATAAAGTAATCTTAAGAGAAAAAATAGAAGAACATATTACTAAGAACACTTCTTGAAGAAAAATAAAGAGACTCTCGGGAAAAAGATTGATAGTAATATACTCCAATACAAATATATTTTTCGAGCTGACGAATGAAACCAGTCGCCAAGGTTAAGATGTCCAGATGGAGAACCTCCACAAATTGAGTGGGTAAAACATTTCTCTCTATATCAATTCTCACATGTGAACTATTGTTTCTCTGATTATCTGGTGTAATAGTCTGCACGAAACAACCGAAGAAAATGCATCAGATGTCAATCTTATAATAAGTTGCTTCAAACCATTATTGATATGCTTATAATGGACACAAAATATCAAGCCTACAATTAGAAAAGTATATTAAATTGAGGGTATACGATCCTTCCCAGCAAAGTCACTATGAGGAGTAATGAAAAGCATTCTTCCTGATGACAAAAAAATTAATACATGAGTATTATCAGAATCTTTCTTTTGTTGTGTATCACAATTTGGTAAGAAAGCAGCCTGTCATGGCTTTGTCAGCACACAACTATTCAATTGAACTGCCTCGCCTCATTGGTTCTATCTCCCATTGTTCCCTCGTCATCCAATAGGAGAAACATACTTGCAAGAGTGAGCGTCTCAGCAATATTTGGTGTAGTCTCAAACAATGGAAAAGGACATTTTGAAATTTGCATAAGAACCTGAAACAGAACATAAAAAATACCATCATCCACTCCCCACATTCACAAAAATTTAAATCTAAACTTGGCATCACTAAGCTCTGCTAAACGATCCTTAACACATGAATAATCTGAAAAGCCGAAGCTCTCATATATTTTAATCCTCACCACATCAACCGTCAATAAACAAAGTAAGGTTCAAAGGTGCATACCTTAAGCCGAGACAACAGATCACTGCAGCTATTGTAGTATTTCTTCACAAATGACCTCACAAAGTCATGCAAAACTTGAGTTCTTTGATTGGTGGTTTTGAAATTTTCGTAGGAGTTGTTGTTTATCTTTGTATTTCATACAGTCATTATCAACAAACATATTAAAAGACTAATCCTTAAGATGTATTGCTAAGATCTAGATACAAAAGTTTGATAAAATATGAGTTACAACGCCAACTTTAGACTGAAACGAAAATGATAGTTTTTTGAGCGTAACACCTTAGCATCAATGAGCAGCATGTCTATCTCCATCAGCTCTCCTCTGGTTTGATGTTCCTAGCTTCCCTAAATCTGAGTAGCCTTACCTGTAGCTGTATGGTGGAAGGATGGATGAGTTAGCCACTGAACAAAAAAAAATAGTATTGCCTAATTTTAGGAATAAAGATAATTTTCATGAGATGAGGATTGACTTTTTTTATAGTTGGATGAACAACTATTGGAAGAGAAAGAAGAAGCATTGAATGACTTGTTGTGGGTCCAAGGAGTAATGATGGTTCTTAGTTACGATGAATGGATGAATCTTTAACGTTTTGAAGGAGATGATGAACATACGCGAACGAAGAGCGACCAAGAGATTGTTCAGTAAGATTTTTTTCACACAGCCTAAAAAACTCCAATAATGACGATGGTTCTAAACGGAGATGGATTTGGCTCGCGAAGAACCCTAGATCGAAGAAAGCGATAAATCTATAACTTGTAGTGTTTCCACTGATTAGAAGAGAAGACTAAACATATAGATTTTTTCACATCGTTTTCAGTCAATCATTATCTTGAATGTCTGAGTACGCAGAAGACATTTTTTGGTATTGGACATCGAAGAGAACATAAGCGTGTAGTTGATGAAGATAAAAGAGGTTCTTGTTTTTTGTCCCAAAAAAGGTTTCTGTTGTTGTCGTAGAAACAAAAAAAAATCTTATTATTGGACTCAGTTTCATAAGATAAACAGAAAAGCCCATGAATTCCTCTTCCTTGCTCACCGTAAATGAAACACAACACTTTGATAAGACACGTGTCACACTTTCAGAAACTTATTTGAGCACGTTATCACACTTTGATAAGAAGGGATGAAAAACCTTCTTTATATAATAAGATGCTAAAATTAGTATAATAATATTTTCTAAATGTTTAGTTTTAACATTTACTTAATATTCAGTTACCTTACGAAACTATCTAACTATAGAAAAATGTATTCTGAAATTTTAAATTATTCTTTAATTTAATATGTTTTTTTTTGCTATTTCGCAACTATGTAGTATAACCAATAAGAACAGATATATGTGATGTATAGTGGGATAACAAATTTATTTAAATTACAAAATAACGAAATCATTAGAACACAAACTATTTTAAACTACAAAAACTAGAGAATAGAAATTGTAAAAGATTCAAGCAGACATTTCATTTTGACTATATATATAACACGTTTATAAAACAGAATATATTTAGTGCTAAAACAGTAAAATAATATTTTCCAAATGTTTAGTTTAGAATTTCGTTACTAATTCACGTGTTCATTCAAGTTCAATCGAGTCTTTTCAAATTTAAGTTAACGAAACTAAAAATTTAAATCTCATTCAAAATATTTATAAATTTTGGTTCATGATCAGTTAGTTCGGTAGGAATTGGACCAGGATACCTATTTAAATTATATAAAAATAAAATCCAATATAATAATAAATAACTAAAATCTAAAACTAATATGAAATTGGTTCTATTTGAAAGGTATTTCTAATATTTTCATTTTTGGATATTTGATATTTTCAGATATTTATTGTGGCTATTTTAGATACTTTAACGTATTTAGAATATATTATAAATATTATATATAAAATAATATTTGAATATACAATTCCGTTTTAGTACCTAAGTATTTCAATTAGTTCGATTAGATTGAGTTTGGTTACGGTCTTTAGATGTTAAAATTTGATCTATATGGATATTTTATGTCATTTTTATTCGATTTGATTCTTTGTATCTAAATATTTACCCAACCCACTATTTTTAGAAAACCAAATCTTAAAATTTAACATTTACTATGTATTCGGTCGTCTAAGTCAACATTGAACACTATAAGTACATTCTGCATATAGTTTTTATTCATTACTTAATCTAGTTTAATTTCATTTAAAAACTTTAAATATATGATATTGTATATAAAGCTATAAATATATGATATTGTATATAAAAACTATAAAGAGCTATTCTTTAGTGCTGATAACTATATAAAATTAACATTAGCAGAAAACTATAAAATATGATATATTATTAATATAAATGAAATATTAGTTGGCACAAAATGAAATATTATAATTCTATTAGAGATATTTTTAGTCCAATATTTACAGCTAACAAAACTACCCCCAATTAACTCGGTCTTGTTTATATTAATATATATATAAGTCCGATACATATATACGTATATTTTTTCCTTTCGTACTTATTATTCTATTATTTTATTTTGTAACTCAATTTATAAACCACCACACAATAATAAAAATGAAAAAAGTTATCTCTACCTAGCATAGAAATCATCTTTCCCTTTTTCGACATTGTGGCCATGGTACATGCCCAAATACCGATGCCCTCGACCTAAAGATAATCCAGAATAAAAGAACTATTATACAAGAAAAGGTTATACATCTCAAAACCCTTTAGATTCAACCTCTCTAATTCGAATCTACAGATCAACAAGGTGTGTGACCTTCCATGTCCAATACCCAAATCTCTAGGTTTAAAAACATTTGCTTATTTTGCTTCGATACTTATCATACATGATGTGTATCCATTTTATATATTCTTTTTTTTTTGTTGCGCATTATCGTTTGTTTTTTTTTTGGTTTGGTTCATCTTCCGTGACCTAGACCTTGATTCCGCCATGCCTGTTTACATGTATCTCCTAACAAGTTTATTGTGTTACTTGACCTTGTAGTAAAATATTAGATCTAAGATTGGTTCTTTCGTGCATTTTAACATTTCTGGGCACCTGGTTTGGTTGAGAATCTTCAAAATTGGTATTATTTTCGCCTCTGTTTCTTTTATCTATGGACCCACCTTTATATATCTGTAACTCTATGTATATATAGATCAAGTCCTGATTTTTATTATTGGAAACTTGTGGGATTAGCCAATTGTTCATTCCAATCAGAAGTTAATTGAGAAGATCTGACCCTCTAGCTGAATTAGTAAATTATTGTCAATATTTTGATTAGGAAAGCAATAGTTTTGTGTCCTATGTTGTTGTTGTTGTTGTTAATCCCCTACATTGTTTTTTTTTTGTTCGCATGCTTCCATGTGTCTGCTAGACTCTGCTTACAAGTTTATTGTGTTACAAAGTGTTAGATCTTTTATGCGGAAATATTGGTTCTTTTGTGCATATTAACATTTTTGGGCACCTGGGTTTGATTGAGAATCTTCAAATTCTTAATTTTTCTTGACCTTTGGAGTAATTATTTTTCTTTTCTGTTTCTTGGGTTTAGATCAAGTCTTAATATTTATTAGTAAAACCTTGTGGGTATTAGCCAATTGAATGATTGATTATCCCCAATCAAAAGTTATTTTGAGACTGATCCTGAAGAATCATTGTTCATGTCATAACTATTGCCTAAAAAAATCTACCTTTAAATAAATTTAAAATGGTTATTGTCAGTATCTTGATTCATATGGATTAGAAAAGCAATGGGTATGTGTTGTTGTTGTTGTTTGTCCCTAAATTGATTTTTTTTTTTTTTTTTTTTTTTTTGCATCCTCAGAGTCAA